GTGTCGTGTGTATTTCACCAGCAGCGTGTGTGTGTTGTGTATTCCACCAGCAGCGTGTGTGTCTTGTGTATTTCACCAGCAGCGTGTGTGTCTTGTGTATTTCACCAGCAGCGTGTGTGTGTTGTGTATTCCACCAGCAGCGTGTGTGTCTTGTGTATTTCACCAGCAGCGTGGGTGTCGTGTGTATTTCACCAGCAGCGTGTGTGTGTTGTGTATTTCACCAGCAGCGTGTGTGTCGTGTGTATTTCACCAGCAGCGTGTGTGTCTTGTGTATTTCACCAGCAGTGTGTGTGTGTGTGTCTTGTGTATTTCACCAGCAGCGTGTGTGTCGTGTGTATTTCACCAGCAGCGTGTGTGTGTTGTGTATTTCACCAGCAGCGTGTGTGTGTTGTGTATTTCACCAGCAGCGTGTGTGTCATGTGTATTTCACCAGCAACGTGTGTGTCTTGTGTATTTCACCAGCAGCGTGTGTGTCTTGTGTATTTCACCAGCAGCGTGTGTGTCTTGTGAATTTCACCAGCAGCATGTGTGTCTTGTGTATTTCACCAGCAGCGTGTGTGTCGTGTGTATTTCACCAGCAGCGTGTGTGTCTTGTGTATTTCACCAGCAGCGTGTGTGTCGTGTGTATTTCACCAGCAGCGTGGGTGTCGTGTGTATTTCACCAGCAGCGTGTGTGTCTTGTGTATTTCACCAGCAGCGTGTGTGTCGTGTGTATTTCACCAGCAGCGTGTGTGTCTTGTGTATTTCACCAGCAACGTGTGTGTCTTGTGTATTTCACCAGCAGCGTGTGTGTCTTGTGTATTTCACCAGCAGCGTGTGTGTCTTGTGTATTTCACCAGCAGCGTGTGTGTCTTGTGTATTTCACCAGCAGCGTGTGGGTGTTGTGTATTTCACCAGCAGCGTGTGTGTCTTGTGTATTTCACCAGCAGCGTGTGTGTCTTGTGTATTTCACCAGCAGCGTGTGTGTCTTGTGTATTTCACCAGCAGCGTGTGTGTCTTGTGAATTTCACCAGCAGCATGGCTGCATTTTCTCAAGTTTTTATTTTTTAAAATCCTAAAACAGACAATTAAACGTTGTAAAGCCATTCAAAATCCAGCTTTCTAATTCTTCCCGTCTTCATTGACTTGTTGTTTTTCTGATGCTTCGTTGCGGTTCTTAAAAGTTGGTCTTTAAATTTGTATCTCCAAAAAAGCGCTGAGTTTCTGTAAAACACCGATTCACACTGTCTCATTTAAGCTACATCATCCTAGTAGTGTTCTGCTTGAGTTTCAGGACTCTCCTCTGTGGTTGACTTTTATTTTTCCCAGACGTTTATCTGGAAGCTTCCAGCAGAGATGACTCACCTGAACAGGTGTTGTTTTATTATTATTTTTATATCAGAACATGTCATTCTGCTCTTCCAGAGGCCATAGACTCTCATCTCTCTTCTGCAGGCGTGTGTTCATGTGGAAGAGTTAGCGCTGAGGCTAATGCTAGCTTATCTCACTTCCTCTGTTCTTCAGATCAGCACTTTTCATTGGCTGGTTCTGGTTAATGATGCTCCAACAGAACTTACATACAGGTTTTTATCCTCCATCACAAACACCTTTTACTTCTTCTGCGATAAACTTTGTCGTTATACATCCTTCCTGAGCAATTCTGGTCTTCATCCCCACCCGCTCTCCACTCTTTGGCTATTTGAAATCAATCACATGACTCTACTGGACGCACTTTAATTTATCAGTAACTGCATTTGCCAAAGCACGGCTAAAGTTGAAAACCAGTTCACCTGTAATAGCAGCAACCATGTTATTAATGTCTACAGTTTTCTGCTTAAACATTTTTGCAGGTTGCACAGATAACACACACACACACACACACACACACACACACGCACGCACACACGCACAGGCTTTGTTTTTCTAATCTGAGGTGCACGTTGTGTTTTAAAGGTGATTTCCCATCGATTCTGGCCTCAACGGGAGCACCAGGCTGCTGTGTTCGCCTGTTTCCTCAGCCAGAACATTGTTCTCTTAAACAGCTGTCGTTTTGGCTGATCCAGAACAGATGGCGTGTACATGTGGGTCTCCTCAGCTGCATGCATGTGCAGGCGGTGAATGTGTCTGTGACACATGAGTGGAGCGAGAGGAAAAGACGTGCAGCTGATGATGCTCTGAACCACCATGAAGACACCAGTCTGTGTTTATTGTCTCCGTGGTGTTAGAACATGCAGGGCAAATATTTTACACAAGCTGGATTTGATACAGCAAAAAAGAAAAACATGAATATGCAGCGTTGATTTGTGACCGCACAGTTTTTAAACGGTAGATAAAAGCACACTTGACATCTTTCAGATGGATCCTTTTTCTTCAACAGAGCGCCGGAGCAGATTGCATGTTCAACAGAGGAATCCAAATGCTCGCCTGAAGGCAAAGTGTTGTTACACTGCAACACTTACAGTACAACCGTGTGTGTGTGTGTGTGTGTGTGTGTGAGAGATGTGCGAGGGGCTCTGGGATATCTGCCTCCATGCATCTGTTTATCCCTCTGCAGTGGTGTATCATCACCGATGGCAACGAAGGGCCTGACAATGACAAAGGCTCTTCTCTGTCTTGCTGCTCATGCAGCACCGGTGCATGCAGGAGTCCACATGAAGAAAGCTCTTGCAGCACGGCGCATGCAGGAGTCCACATGAAGAAAGCTCTTGCAGCACGGCGCATGCAGGAATCCACATGAAGAAAGCTCTTGCAGCACCGGCGCATGCAGGAGTCCACATGAAGAAAGCTCTTGCAGCACCGGCGCATGCAGGAGTCCACATGAAGAAAGCTCTTGCAGCACGGCGCATGCAGGAGTCCACATGAAGAAAGCTCTTGCAGCACGGCGCATGCAGGAGTCCACATGAAGAAAGCTCTTGCAGCACGGCGCATGCAGGAGTCCACATGAAGAAAGCTCTTGCAGCACGGTGCATGCAGGAGTCCACATGAAGAAAGCTCTTGCAGCACGGCGCATGCAGGAGTCCACATGAAGAAAGCTCTTGCAGCACGGCGCATGCAGGAGTCCACATGAAGAAAGCTCTTGCAGCACGGCGCATGCAGGAGTCCACATGAAGAAAGCTCTTGCAGCACGGCGCATGCAGGAGTCCACATGAAGAAAGCTCTTGCAGCACGGCGCATGCAGGAGTCCACATGAAGAAAGCTCTTGCAGCACGGCGCATGCAGGAGTCCACATGAAGAAAGCTCTTGCAGCACGGCGCATGCAGGAGTCCACATGAAGAAAGCTCTTGCAGCACGGCGCATGCAGGAGTCCACATGAAGAAAGCTCTTGCAGCACGGCGCATGCAGGAGTCCACATGAAGAAAGCTCTTGCAGCACCGGCGCATGCAGGAGTCCACATGAAGAAAGCTCTTGCAGCACGGCGCATGCAGGAGTCCACATGAAGAAAGCTCTTGCAGCACGGCGCATGCAGGAGTCCACATGAAGAAAGCTCTTGCAGCACGGCGCATGCAGGAGTCCACATGAAGAAAGCTCTTGCAGCGCTCAGGCAGAGAGGGAAGCTGGCAGCAGCTGGAGTGCTCGGTGTGATGGCACTGGCAGGTTTATAGTGGCAGCCTCCTTTTTCATAAACTTATCTGCAGTTGGTAGACTTTCTGTTTTTGTCCAATTTGCGTTGTCCTTCATTTTTTCCTCACCTCTGTTTAGGCTTTTTCAGAAATTAGGATTTTGAATGATTTTGTCACGTGGCTTATCCATAGGTGTCTGTGTGTGTTTTCAACGTAATGCTAATAAATCGTTTCAGGGGCTTGGCATTGAATGTGTGACTTTGGTCTCTCAGTTCAAACCCTGATGTTTTAATCACCAGCTGCTCACATAAATGCATGACCTGGTTCCTGCAGCGTCTTTAAAATGTGGGTCTTTTAGGCCAGACACGACCAGAGCGAACCACTGGAACCAGTACTTCCATTTACCCCGCTAGCTTGATGGCAAACATGAGACATTAAATCTGACTGTGACTTTCTGTGTCCACCTGGTGGAGGATGTTATACACATAGTGAGTGTCCCAGCTTAATGACAAATTATGAATTATAATCATGATCATGAGCTTTTCCATAATCATGCTGCCCAAAAAGCTCCGAGTTTTCACCGGTGCAGGCGCTGCCACTGGCAGCTTATTCTGTGCTCTTGTTGTTTGAAAACCCAGCTCTAATTGCAAACTGTGAGCATAAATCATTTCTGATCTCACGTTGTTTTGTCCCATTTTATAGACTTATTATCAAAAGAAAACATTCAGAGGTTTACAAAGATTTGTTTGGATGCATATTTCCTCTGTATGATTTCCGTCGTATTATTCTTAAACTAGAGGGATTTGAATATAAATTGAAAGCTGCAAGCCTTCTCCCTGAAGCTAAACTGTAAATAATAACTAAACTTTTTTTTTCTAATCTTTGGTAATTGAAGCAAATGGGTTTTACAGAGGAAGATTTGTCGCAGGCAAGCATACATACATTTTTTTTATTTACGAGGAGGCGAAGGCTGAGCGGTGTAATGAGTGAAAATGCATGCTTAATTTAAATGGCGAGTGTGTCTGTTAGGGAATGCATTAGAGTCTGCAGAAGAAGCGTAAGACATATTAATTGACAGACAGGAACCGCTGTCTCCGAGGTTGATACAAGTAATTTATTACTTCAGAAACGAATGCCACCGCCAGAATGTGCTTCATTAATTTCAAATTTAGTTTTAATTTCAAGCTGTTGCCCCTTGAGAAGAATAAGGTGGCAAGTTCTGTTTGAGGAGGCATTTTCCCCCTCTCTCACTTCATCTTTCTGTCTCCATCCCTCCACATCTCCCTCTTTCTCACTGGCTGATTTTCAGCAGAACAAAGACTTGGGGTTTGGAAGCGGTGAGAGGGAGGGGGCGACGACTAGCAGTAAAACAGCATAAAGTAGTGTTTATCTACTCTGTGGATGCCAAAAGGCACGTTGCCCGTAGGACTAACAGATTTCTGTTTTCTTTCCTCTGAACAGCATACGTCCCTGAAGATGAGAAGGAAGCAGCCCTGTTGGATGAAGATCTAGATGGAGAAGACTCAGCCCAGGAAGGAGAGGAGCCTTCAGCAAAGCTCCTGTGTCAGGACAAGGACTTCTTGTTCAAGGAAAGGCCAGGATCCACTGGCATCCATGACTCCCCCAATGCTGCTGACTTTTCAGGCCAGGAGCTGGACAGTGAGTCTCACCTGAGTGAATCCAGTGACAGAATGTCTGATTTTGAAAGTTCCTCACTTAAAAACGAGGATGATGTCCTCCTTTCTAAAGACCCTTCAAATGTGTTGTCCCCATCCTCTTCTGCCATGATTGCTGCAGCCAGCGCCTCTGTAGGTGGAGACGAGGCTATACTAGTAGCAACAAGCTCCGTGGCTGACAGTCTTGAGAAGATGAAAGCCATTTACACATCCTTCCTGAGCAATTCTTACTGGTCTTCACTAAACCTGAACCTGAGTCAGCCACCGGCAGAAAAACCTCCTCGCAGTCACAGCAGCAGCAGCAGCAGCAGTAGCAGCAGCTGTGGAAGTGGAGGGTATGACTGGCACCAGACCGCCATGGCTAAAACTCTCCAGCAGGCATCCCAGAGTCACCACAACAGACTAAACCTGGTTCAGCATCCGGTCGTGGTGGCTCCGCCTACCACCACAGAACCCAACCTCTTTAGTACGGTCCAGCTTTACCGGCAGAGCTCCAAGCTCTATGGCTCCATATTCACCGGAGCCAGCAAGTTTCGCTGTAAGGACTGTAGTGCAGCATATGACACTCTAGTGGAGCTAACAGTGCACATGAATGAGACGGGCCACTACCGCGACGATAACCACGAGACAGATAGTGAGGGAACCAAGCGCTGGTCCAAACCCAGGAAACGTTCCTTACTAGAGATGGAGGGGAAGGAAGATGCACAAAAGGTGCTAAAGTGTATGTACTGTGGACACTCCTTTGAATCCCTTCAGGACCTGAGCGTCCACATGATTAAGACAAAACACTACCAGAAAGTGCCTCTGAAAGAGCCCGTCACACCAGTGGCAGCTAAAATTATATCCTCTGCCCGAAAGAGAGCCCCGATTGATTTAGACATCCCCAGTTCACCGGACTCAAATGGAGGCACCACACCCAAGCCCACCTCCCTCAGTGACACTAATGACATCCTGCAAAAGGTCGCTAACCCGTACATAACACCCAACCACCGCTATGGACATCAAAATGGTGCCAGCTACGCCTGGCAGTTTGAATCCAGGAAGTCACAGATCCTCAAATGCATGGAGTGTGGCAGCTCTCATGACACGCTACAAGAGCTTACAGCTCACATGATGGTGACGGGACACTTTATTAAAGTTACCAACTCTGCTATAAAGAAAGGAAAACCATTTATGGAGTCCTCCAGCCAAACCCCAACATCCGTTTCAGCAGCTGAAGAAAAGGTGCAGTCAGTTCCCCTGGCTGCCACGACGTTCTCCTCTCCATCTGCCCCAGTCCCTCCTCCCACCAGCATCACACCCACTGCTATGGCTGTGGAAATTAAAAAGGAGGAGAAGGAAGAAGAATGTACTAAAGAACACGTCATGATTCCTCCAAACAACCTCAACGCAGAGAAACGAGCAGGAGGGGAGGAGGCTGTCGAAGAAAAGTTTGATATTTCTTCTAAATACTCGTATCTGACTGAAGAAGATCTGGATGAAAGCCCAAAGGGGGGTCTGGACATTCTCAAGTCTTTGGAGAACACCGTGACCTCAGCCATTAACAAAGCCCAGAATGGAGCTCCCAGCTGGGGTGGGTACCCCAGTATCCATGCTGCCTACCAGCTCCCTAACATAATGAAGCTCTCTCTTGGTGCCTCTGGAAAAAGCTCTCCTCTTAAATATCTGTTCCCTGGAGGGGAGATTTTCTCTGCTGCCAGTAAGAGTCAGCCGCTGGTCTCGTCCCCAAGCCGCCAGACCTCCCCACTGCCCAAAAACAATTTCCATGCAATGGAGGAACTGGTCAAGAAAGTGACAGAGAAAGTGGCTAAAGTAGAGGAGAAATTGAGAGAGCCCAGTGCCATTGTGAGAGATTCTCCTCTGAGACACGCGACACCCTCACCGTGCAACAGCGAGGCAGAAGCAGAGGCGTCGGCCCGAACAGAGTCGCAGACACCCAAGGAGCAGGGAGACTGTAAAACTCCCGAGAATACAGATGTAGCAGAAACAATGCTGGCTACGGAAAATGGAACCGATCACAGGGATTCAAATGGTAACATTTCCAAAAAGGAGATGGTGGAGAACGGACTGGAACCCGCCGCTGTGACATCACCCCTGTCAGCATCCGTGTGTGGCAGCACGGCCATCATTACAGACCATCCGCCTCCAGAACAACCGTTTGTCAACCCTCTCAGCGCCCTGCAGTCAGTAATGAACGTTCACCTGGGGAAGGCTGCCAAACCTGCCATGCCCTCCCTCGACCCCATGAGCATGCTGTTCAAGATGAGCAACAGCCTGGCAGAGAAAGCAGCGGTGGCTTCCTCCACCCCGCCAGCACACACCAAAAAGACTAATAACAACGACCACTTAGAGCGCTACTTCTACCAGCAACATCTAAACAATGACCAACCTATGGACCTCACCAAAGGAAAAAGTACCGACAAAGGCAGCAATGGTGGAACTCTCGGGTCAACAGTTCTGTCTTCCACCATCTCCACACCATCAATCTCTCCATCGTCAGCCATTACCATGGCAAAAGCCTCAGCTGCAGTAGCTTCTTTCATGTCCACCTCTCCGCTGAGAGAAAATGCCCTGTCAGATATCTCTGATATGCTGAGGAACCTCACCGAGAGTCAGGCTTTGTCCAAGTCCTCCACACCCACCAGCCAGTCTGAGCGCTCTGACGTTGAAGGCGCCACACAAGAGGAGACTGAAGAAGTTTCACCTGCTCAGAAACGAAAAGGCCGCCAGTCCAACTGGAACCCTCAACATCTCCTCATACTGCAAGCCCAGTTTGCTTCCAGTTTAAGACAAACAAATGACGGCAAATACATTATGTCTGATCTGAGCCCACAGGAGAGAATGCACATCTCACGCTTCACTGGCCTCTCGATGACGACAATATCCCACTGGCTGGCCAACGTGAAGTACCAGTTGAGACGAACCGGTGGCACAAAGTTCCTGAAGAACTTGGATTCTGGTCACCCAGTGTTCTTCTGCAGTGACTGCGCCTCACAGATCCGCTCACCATCCACCTACGTCAGCCACTTGGAGTCCCATTTAGGCTTTCGTCTGCGAGACTTGGCTAAACTTTCTGGGGAACAGTTGCTGAGTCAGTTATCGCAGCAACACCACCACCGCCACGCAAAGGGACTTTCTGAAAAACTCTTCTCTAATCTCCACCCTTCCAGCCACCCCTTACCCCCCTCCTTACAGGCATCCCTACCCCCTTCACTGCCCATTTCACTGTCCTCGTCTTTAACGTCATTGCCCCCTACTGAGACACCGTCCCCTGATGACGATGACAGTGGGGCAGTCCACCAGTGCAAGCTGTGCAACCGGACTTTTGCAAGTAAGCACGCAGTTAAGCTTCACTTGAGCAAGACTCATGGGAAATCCCCCGAGGACCACCTCATGTTCGTTTGTGAGCCGGACAAACAATAGCACTGGCTGGGGAAAAGGCAGCACTTTTACGACGTGGCTCACGCTGTTTTGCTCTGTCTCTCTCTAGCCTTTCACAGACACACTAAAGAAAGGATTACAAAAAGCGACAGAACTGCACAAAGATGCCATTAAACTACTGCAATGAGTGTTGGCACATGTTTTCCTTTTTATGTTGTACTCGTTTTTGGTTGTTGATTTTTGGATTATGTGTGACATGGACTCACTCTGGCCCAACACACTTAGTTTTACTGATCTTTACAAAAACAGACTTCTCTTTAGATGGTGCAGAGATACAATGAAGGAGACCGGTCCAAACCCATTCTAGGAAGATGGGATGAGTATTTGTGGTGAAAAAAGAATTTGGTTCTTTGATATTTTGGCATTATGGCGGTGTGCTCAGCTGCATGCATGCATACAATTGTTTTGTTAAACATTTTATAATTAAATGTGGTGCACTTTCATTGATTTTTGGTCTTTTCACCTGATTGCTTTTTGTTTCTTTCTTAAAGTGTCTCTTGTTTTGTTTTTAAGCTAGAGGCAGCAGTTAAGATTTAACCCTGTGAGTACATTAAGGCACTTCTGGAACCGTTAAATCAAAATTATTGTTATTATTATTATTATTATTATTATTATTATTATTATTATTCCTGATATCATTTCTCTAATAACCTTTAGTTGAGTCATCTTCTCGACATAACAGAGTCCACCTGTTCAGCCACGTCTGTAACCTTCAGGCCACTCGTCACAGGTTTTGACACATGCGCATGTTGTATGTGTCAAAATGATGTAAACAAAAAAATAATAATAATAATCAAAATATTTTACTTTGGTTGATCAGGGACCTATATTAATTCAGGTCTGTGTAAAATATGTAAATAAAAACATTCAATGAGCTCTTGTCTAAATTATGCATCATTTCTATATTTTTAATTTAAAAGGATTATGACTATTTGCTGGTGCACAGAACATAAAAACATAAACAAACTTGTTTTGCACAATAGTTTTATAAGTGTTACGTAATTGAAAGTATAAAAAGGGAGGTACAAAAAGAGAAACAAAAGGTTCGTCTTTTTTATTCCCACCTTGTGCTCAAAGGGTTAAAGGCTCTTTTCTAGCAGAAACTGCTCTACTGGTGCCCCTGTATGAACACTAAAAGATCTAAAGGTTGAACAGAAAGATGTTGCTTTATGAAGAAATTTTATGTGTAAACTGTTATTTAAAAGCCCTCTTGATTGTATCCTGTTGTTGAATGCCCTTTTGATTGGTCTTATTGATATGTTTTGTTCTAATTCCCCTCCGGAGCTTTATCTTTTTGGGATATGAAAGGTACCCATGGTTACACTAACCTCCTGAGTGACAAGTTCTGCTACATTTTTTGGCAATTCATTTGCTGAAGTAACTGACATCTGCCAGAGAAACAACAACAACAGTAATAAAAATCTTTATGTGTAAAATATTGGCATGTAAACAGCACAGATACTGTTATGCATTCTGTGCCGTAAGTCTTATTTTTTTTTCACTTCATTCTTTGGATTTCTGTTGTTGTTGTTGACAATGAATCCCCATTATATGACTTCGTATAACCTTGTTTTCTACTGCAGCATTAAAAAAGGAAACTGTTTTTTGCAATAATGCGTGTGTACATTCTGTGTGTCATGGCCATCAATTAGGTGTGTGCTGTGCAGTCCCTAATGAGCACATTAGACTGGGAGTGTGTCAGCGTCTGTCTGGGACGGGCTGCAGACTAGTTTAGGGTGAGTGGCAGCAGCAGGGCCGTGTGGGAGACAAACACACACACGCACACAAACACACACACTCACCCGTACACACTCGTATTCATACGTGCAAACAGAAACCATCACTTTTTCACTTCCCTGCATCTCTATTGTCTTCCTGCCGTTAGACTACCAAAATATTGCAAATTCAGGACTGAACTAGTAGCATTTTGCTTCATAAACAGTAACAAGAAGAGCAGGTAGGGCCCAACAAACCATAAAGATGTCTGCAAAAGGATTCCTTCTTGGTTTTGAGGAAAAATCACAAAACCTCAATGCCCTGCACACATACTAGGAGACATTACTGTGATACAGTCAAGAATTTGTTTCATCTGGCCAGTGTACAGTTAACCTGACATAAGAGTCCCCATACCTGACACACACACACGCATGCACGTACGTACTCACACGCTCACACACACAAGGTAAGGAAACGTGTCACAAGTATTGCTAAACTGGACATTATGGGTCATTCAAATATTAATTGCGTACCAGGTTTCACTGCTTTTAGTTCATGTAGCTTCAGAAATGCAATAGTTAAAAGATAAACAGTGAAAACTATTTTATGTCCTGTCGTTAATTCTTAGCTTTAGTAACTTAAAATACAATAAAAACCTTCACACACACAGACAAGCACACATCTGATACTACAGCAACAACATCACAAGTACCAATTCTATAGATTTGTAAATTTTCACACACTTAAGATGCAGTAAAAGCCCGTACATGCACACACACACACACACGCGCACGCACGCACGTGCGCGCACACACACACACACGCATGCACACACACACACATGCACGCACACATACACACACACACACGCATGCACACACACACGCATGCACACACACACACACACACACACACACACACACACACACACACACACGCATACACACACACACACACATGCACACACACACACACACACACACGCACACACACACACACACACACACACACACACACACACACACACACACACACGCATGCACACACACACACACACGCATGCACACACACACACAGACACTTCTCAACAACCAGGTAGAGGGACTTCATCAACGGTGACAAGGTTCCACTGTGTGTGAAAATGTCAGCCTTCAACGGTGCAGCCTGAAGTCTGGCACCGTATTTAAGGTTCTCATTAGCCTCAAAGAAAATATGCATGAGCCTGAAGTGTAAAAAAGCCATTTTCTCTCCTGTCTTCACTTGCAGGAAGCTGGGTCTCGGGCTTATTAAGGTTTGAAACCTGCATGCAGGAGACAGTAGGCGCTGCCACCAGACTGTGCTTTCACACAAACACTGGATCACATTTACAATGTGGACTAAATCCTATCAGTTGCAAGCCAGTGGGTGAATACTACATGACTACTACTGAGGGACGCTAACACACTTATGCAGAAACAACAGATTTACTGAAGAGAAATCCTACCTATAATAAGCTCTGATGGAAAACAAAGTGATTTAAAATAGTGTTTAAGCTCATTTGACTTTGCGTTGATGAAGACAGATTTAGATGACCTCGAGAAACCGTTTATACATGGTATAAGAATTTAATCATCACAATGCATCTGGTCTCAAGAATAGATGAGAGTCAACTTTGGGAGGAATTGGCAACCAAATGGGTAAAGAATAATTTTAGGTTAAAATTTTGACAAGAAAATCTGCATGAAAATAGCAATTTGTCTGCATTGACATGACAAGTCCCACATGGCTCAACCCTTAATGAAACCAGACTTTTAATTACATGCTGTGATTAAACCTTATCCTGTGGTCACTGGTTGAGCAGCATGGACACAACATGGAAGTCCATCAGAGCTACCATTAGTGAGTGCATTGATGAAATCTGCTTGATTTAAAGCAGTCCTAGTCAGATCATGCCAAATTACAGTTCGCAAGAACTACATTATTGAGTTGTAATGATTTATTTTCCTGGAGGTGATTTATTTCTAGTTTAAAGAGCTCCATCCACACAAATGAAAAGTGCAGAGTAACAGGCTTTTAAACTGTCATGAGCTCTTTGTTAGCGCGAGCTAGTTAACAAGCCCCTCCGTGTCTGCCCTCTCAGGAGAGTTTAGGTTTCTGTTGTTCTGGTCCACGTGCCAGGTGCTTTGGTCCTGTTCCGGAAGATGGCAAGACAGAAAGGACAGAGAAGTTCGTGTTTTGGAAAGCAAAGACTGATGGATTGACAGGGAAGAAAAAAGTTGTCTTTGTCAAAAGAGAAAAATCAACATTACCGTTAGAAAAATTTCCCGAGGTTTTATCTGCAAAACCCTAGAAATGAGCTCTGAGTCTGAGTTCCAGACATTTTTTGAGACAACCACCATTTCAGGAAAAATCTAAATGTAGACGAGGACATCAGAAATCCAAACAAAGAAGAAGATGATTTGTAAACTCGCTTGCATTGCCCATGTTCTTCCTGGAAGCTTAGTTATTATCTTAAACAAGAAGCTAAACAACAGAAGTCCAGTTATCTTTGGATGACTGAGACCTTTTGGTAAATCACACCAATACCGTTATGAGTGATGAAGTCTGAACGACAATAAACCACAGAAACAGGCACATCTGCTTCTTCAGTCTAATTACGTCTCTAACGGGGTTGTCGTGGTAACAGCCGTGCCACATAAGTCAGCATTTATCTTGGTTTGTGATGAAGGGCTCCCAGGTGCTCTTATGAGTAGATTTTAGACCTCTGTTTGAGAGTGAGCGGGGAACATTAACTCATTCACTTCCATTGACGACTAAAGTCGTCATTTTAAACCCAACCGTTCAATGCCAATGACGACCACTGGCATTTTTTTGTACTGTTTGGGCATCAGAACGAGCCCCCGCGCTGAAAGAACAAACATCTCAGCCCTGAAGCTGATCTTCATCCACATACGTCACACGTCACGTGATCAGGAAGCAGATCATCCATGTGTTAGGACATCGTTTTGGGCCCTTCCTGTAAAAAATGGTGAGGCGTGAACCGGAAAAGCGGCTGCCGATCACAATTCAACAACGCATCATGAAAGAATGGATAACGCTCGAAACACGCGGCTTCTTCCTGATGTAAGAGGTGAGTCTCCTCTTTGTTTTGGTTGTTTTGGTGTTGACATCATCCTAGCGCGCAACGTTCTGCGACTCTTAAAAAAACAGTAAAAACGGTGAGAAACACTGGCGGCGAATGAGTTAACATCTTAACGTACATTTTAGGGTCGGTTAAATTTGCCAGCCTACCACGCCCTCATTGTAACCCACACAATACCACCGTCAGCACTCCCGAGCAGCACAGAGAGCCTCCACACGGTAAGCCGCTTACATGCATTTGTGGAAGGTGTGCTGCTGATTCAGATAGCTTTATCTGAGAGGGGGGCTGCTGGGAAAGTGGGAAAACAAGCTCCATGGATCCACTCGTCACAATGGAATCACAAAGCATAACATAAATGAAGCCAAGGTACAAGCAAGCACTGTCCTCTCACAATCTCACACAAGGAGAATGCCCTGTCCATCTTTGTTGCTCTCGATTTCGTGTTTGTTCTTCTTCCATTCTCTTCTTTTGTATGAGAGCACAATGCCACAGCCACAGAAGCAGTACTTGCTTACTGAAACAGAACAGCTCACATGCCTTGCTTTACGAGGCATATTAGTGCCTTTGTGGCTTAGCTCAGCATCTACTGAAAGAGCTACATGCATATGTACTTTCTTTTTCAACATTGTTAGCTGGGTTTATTAATCAGAACAGGTTCATGTGCAGAGCTTTGGTTTTGGATGATAAAGTCTGCCAATCAAACATTATTCTCCAGAGTAGAAGTCATTAATACCAAGATGATGATTTATTTTACTTTGGGATTTTGGGCCAATCTATCAGTAGGTCAAGATTTTCACATGCTTTTACAAATCAGCTAAAATCAAAGTCTGCAATTAATTCATAAGATAAAATTAAATGGGGATGATCAAAGATGTGTTTCAATAAATCAAAATTTTTCCTTTTCTTTATGTCTGTGTGAAGGCACTCCATTAACACGGCCAGAGCCTTGATTTGGAGAGGGATTCATTTCCACAGGCCCACAGTCTCTGATCATAAGAATGACATATGCAAATGTGGTTTGGGCTTGGTTCTCAGGCTAGAAGACTATGGGAAGTGTGCCAAAAAACTGGTTGGTTACACATCAAAGTCATGCATCAGAAGACATTTATTTGCTGTTTCATTTAAAATATTTAAATCATTTTTAAAAGAGTTTCAAACTGATCTGTGTTGGTGCCGATGATAGGGGGACATACTCACATCTGTTTCAATAGTTAGGACTCCACTTCTATTGCAGAATAGCATTACCTTATAAATGAACAAACACTAAGGTAAATGTCAA